ACCTATATATATATAACATATATATACAGTGTAATCAGTGAGGGGATTCTGCAGACTGTTAGGGTTCAGCCTCCTGATGAGTCGGTGAAACTCCGACGAAACAGTTTGTCACAGCCCCTCGTTTGTTGTCCTCTTCTCTCTCTCTGCCTACGGTTTACCGGGCAGTTCTGTTTGTGACTATATATATATAGAGAGAGAGAGAGAAAGAGATGTTCTGGGGCGTGGTCCCACTAGCAAAGAGGATCGGATCGAATGCCTGAATCTGGACGAGTTTATGGGGATGTGCAGGAAATCGAGATTGAACAGCGTTTCTGTATCTCTGCTTAAAACACATCCAGATTCAGGAGCTCGATCCTATCCCTTTTGCTAGTGGGACCTCGGCCCTGGTTGAGACGGTGCATCCAAGTCTCATTGGCTGACTGAATTTCGGATTTCGTGTCAGTAGAGGGAGATATAAAGGTACACAGGGCTATGGAGAGATAATATATATATATATATATATATATATATATATTTCTGCATCTCTGCTTCAAACACATCCAGATTCAGGAGCTCGATCCTATCCCTTTTGCTAGTGGGACCTCGATCCTAAACGCTGTTCAATCTCGATTTCCTGCACATCCCCATAAACTCGTCCAGATTCAGGCATTGGATCCGATCCTCTTTGTTAGTGGGACCACGTGTTTCTCCAGTGGCTGAAGGCTGCCTCGAGATGTAATGAAAGACCCAGACTTTCTTCTTTTTTTCTTTTTTTCTTTTTCCACAATATGCTCGTGAGGAGCAACACGTGCTGGGAAGCRGGCCCACTGTCYTTTATAAGATTTCAATAACATTTGAGGATGCCGGGGCCACCATTACCCTGTTTCGGCTGAGAAACATTTCCSCCCCAAAAAAGATATGAAAATCCTGAACTACTTCTAACCTCACTTCTACCGAACCCCCCGTTCCAAGTGGCACTATATAATTACCTGAACCCATCCCTATTCTAGCTGTCCTATTCTATTACCAGGGGCTAGGTCCCACTTGCACGAATTAAGAGATCCTGACCGTAGATAGCAAAGATCAACGGCCCAAATCTCCTAA